TAGTCAAATCACAAACTTCAACTTCTTTCATAAATAGCAATATTATCCTTAATCAAATAGGTCATGAAAATGCTTTGTAAACTGTGTACTGCTCTTTAGTTACCTATATTATTTTAGTAGTAAGGCATTTTATCTTTATTACTACAGATTTAGCTGTTTTGCCTCATTTTGGAAGTGCTGCAACCTAAAACCACGGTCCCATTTGGCCTGGTTTCATTGTTCTCCATTTTGAATCTTTTCAGGTCTAAAATACAATTTGGTTTTTATTCTGTGAGTATCTCTTTGGGTTAGACCTGAGTCATGGTACTGATGACAGGTAAACCAGGAACACTAAGGCACTAGTTTATATTCAGGTGTTGTGGCCTGTATCCAAAGCTTCTCCCTTCTCATAATCCGACACTCATGAAGTCAAGAGTCATCACAAAGGTAATATGAGCCTGAATTAAGAGCAAACAGAAGCAAATTGCCTTATTTTTGGCCCAAGATTAAGCCTGATTAAATTATACTGCTCAACATTTATTAACCCACATAGATAAAAAGATGTTCATTTACTCCAGATTCAAGCCCCTTCTTGATGGACGTTCTGCGATGGATTTGGCTTTGTTGGCCACTAACCTCCAACAGACTCCCCCAGCACATTTTGTGTTTTAGCCTAACATTGTTTTGGCCATTATCAAGTCTTTTACCCATGGAGCTATTCTAAGATATGTTTATATGTATGGTGATCTCAGTTATCATGTTGACTTTAATAAACTCAATGTTCTGCCAAGACTTAGCAATCCTTAGTCCCAAGGAACTCCTTGATGGATGAGATCTACCCTGGCTTTCCACCAAGCTTTCCGAACAATAGATTAGTAATGTAATTTTCCTCCCTAATTTCTCAGTTTTGTTCTTGGCTCATATGTCAGTCTTGCAAAATATTTGGATGAGTCACCTGATTTCAGTAATTATCTGTTTCTGTCCTGTTGATGAGGTCCCCAAGGCTTCATGCACTTACTGTATTTACCATCTCCATAGTAAAGAGTATATGTAGGTGAGACCTCCTCAACCTCCTTCTTAGAAAGGCTGAAACAATATTGACTAGCATTAGGTGGCAAAAACAGGTGAAGGGCCTAGTGATGGCAACAGGGAGAGGAAAAAGGACAAATCTGAATGATGAGAGAGATTCTGCTAATGAAAAACAGGACTTGGTGATTGGTTTAATGATAAAAGAATAGGAAGAAGGAAAGATGCCCAGGAGATGACAGTGACCAAGGGAGGTATTGCTGACAGGATGAGTGACCTAGGAAGGGCCACCAATAGGGAAGACAGCAAATATGGTATGAGATGAGGTGAGATTAAACATCATTGAAAGGCGTGATGGCAAAAATTTACTCACTCAGTTTCACCAAGGGAAAAAAATCACCAATGTTATGAAAACTCACAGAGAGGACTTGATCCTGGGTTCCTCCAAGGGGGATAACCACATGCTGACCTCTATTCTAGACCCATCTATCACTGCTGAATTTAGAAGAAATTTGCCTCACTTTGTTATTGCTAAAAACAAATTCTTTCTTCTCTCCTTAGTGTTTAAGGGTTAAAAGTCTCTTTTTTTGGGGGGGACTGCAAATAAAAAACTTAATTTCAGAACCTGAATCCATCATTTATACAGTCTCTATTTAAGAAGGAAACAGCTGCATGTACAGGGCTGGTTCTTCCCCTACACTGATCCCAGGTTAAAGCATTTACTGGGAAAATAGCAATCCAGTCAAGGCTGGCACACATTCAGTTTCCCTTTTGAAATTTGAAGAGCTTTCAAACAGGAAAAGCATATAAAGTTATTGACAATCCCACTATTGGATAACTTTAGATCAGCATGGTTTTGGCCTAGTAGCTATGATGTAGCTAGGGCTATAGATTTACATGGGGATGAAATCTAAATTCAACTTCCTTAATCTGAGCAGCAGGCTCATCTGTGAGATAAGAGGCAAGACCTACATGAACCAATTCTCTCACGGTGGAGCTTGGACCACTCCAAAATTCTGGCTTTGTGATAAGGAAAACTACTTAGAGACTCAACTATAGACTCAAATTCCAACTCTCACCACTAGATGTCGCTGTTGCTCAGAAATTAGAAATAGGTATAGTCATCTCTGGGTAACTTCAGCAGATAGGTCCCAGGACCCCTTGTGAACATCAATATTCTTGGATTGTCAAGACTCTTATAAAAAATCGCATAGTATTTGAATGTAATTTATGTAAATACTCGAATAAGTTGTCTCTAATTATAATACATAACTATACATATATACATAAACAGTTGTTAAATTGCTTTGTTTATTAACAAGAAAACCGAATCTGTACATGTTCAGTAAATACACAATTTTTTCCCCTGAACATTTCTAATCTACAGTTGAATTCATGGATGTAGAACTTGCAGATATGGAGGGTCAACTCTTAACTTTTTTCTAGGGGTGGCAGGACTGAATGTAAAAAACCCAAAACCTTCTCTAAATAATTCAACAAAAATATACTGGATACACCCATGCTTCAACATCCAACATTAAGCCAAGAAATCTAATTTCAATGAAAATCAACATACCATCTCCTTAAAGTAGAATATTGCTTTCTTGAGGAGACCTCTTCCAACCCCAACCCTGGGATAAGTCCTTCAACCAGATGTCCGCATTGCATCCCGTACCTAGTAGTCATCATGTAATAACTTATTTAAACCAGCCTCCCCTTCTAGACTTTATGTGTGGAGAGGGCAGGGCCCATTTCTCCTGTGCTGCTGCATTCCTATACCTAACCCAGTAATAATGGCAACAGCAACCACCAATTGAGAATGTATCACCATCCATGTTGAGCCCTTTACACTTACTACTGTTATCTTGTCCTCATTTTATAGATGAGAAAACCATGGCTGTTTAGTTAGAAGTGGCAGAATCAGGATCCCATCCAATAAAACACAGTATCACAGCCACTTGAGCCACTTCCAAGAACTTCCACCCTATTCATCCAACTTATTTACCATTCCCTCCTTCAGGAAAGCACTCCCACTTATTTTCTCTTGATCATATAATGCTCATTATCATCTCAACACTTCATCTTTATTCTCTCACAATCCTCTGCCATTTGTCTAGAAAAATGATTCTCAAGTTAATAATTAAACAAAATCAATAGGGTACCTACCTATCTAGTAAAATGACAATTTTCTGAAAACATAGAGAACATAGAAAGATCAACACCAAACTAGTATAATTGAAGTTCTGAACTTACTAAAGAATTTGAGCAGCCAAGCAAAAAAAGAAAATCCCTTATTTTAGGGGAAATTTCACAAGACTTAGGCTTCTCTATGTCAATATTTACAATATTCCCAAGAAAAATGTAAACTAAGAATTTTATATCTAAATTGTTTTTACTGTGTAAAGGTTACAGATAAAAATATTCAAATATGCAAAAATTTAGAGGAATTTTTCCATATGTCTTTCTGAGGAAACTATTAAAAAACTATCATTAATTTCTGCCAACCAAGAGATTACTGAGAATGTTTGTCTGTTTTCAATGTTTAAATTGTAGAACTAGAGAGAAAGAAGTGTGCAAATGGCAGATCAGAATGTAAACATTATATATTCCCACAATGTAGAAATGAAACAACTAATAAAACTCTGGAAGGTAAGGAGAAAGAAGGCATGGGATATAGAATAAGTTCTCTGGTCATGTAATCTCTAATGGTTGGCAATCAAGGCCTATCAGTTAAAAGCTGAACTGACACATCAAATAGAAGTATAAGCATATTTAAAACAGTACAAGAGAAAACTCTTAGGAAAGATAATATTGGCTAGTATTAGAGGTGGAGGGGAGACTACACTAGTTTTAAATATGGTTCGTATGGCTGCATAGGGATGTGTGCTTGTAATCACTGTGACCCATGAGAGTTTTAAGTTTGAGGCCAGCCAGCCTTGGCAATTTAGTGAGATCCTGTCTTAAAACAAAAAATAAAAAGAACTGGAGTTATTGCTCAGTGGTAAAAATCCTTGGGTTCAATCCATAGTAGCAAAAACACTAAAAAAATAAAAGAAATTGCTCATATGAAATTATTAGTGGCTGCAAAGAATGTTACAACTGCCAGAAAAAAAACTACCCACAAAAGAAAGCATATCTTATATTAAAATACCTTAAAATTCACCTAAATAGCAAAATATAATTAAAGTAAGCTACAAAAAAAAGGGGGAGGACAAATTTCTGAAACTTTATAAAAAGTTTATCTTTCATAAAACAATTGCTAAGATTGCCTACGAGCACCTTGTTATCTATCCAAAGCTGAAAAAAAATAGTTTCTAATTAGAGCTCATAATGACCTATCAGCTAGACAGGACCACAGAAGTTCTCTAGTCTAAACTCTCATTTCATGGGTAGGAAAAGACTGAGAAAACTCTGATTTAGTCCAGGTAATTCCAGCATTAATCTTATATCAGCCAACATTTCAAGTACCTAATACCAGTTGGTATCAACCATATTACTTATCATCCTGGGATTTTCTTAAAAAAAAAAAAAATTCCAAAATAGTAGATTGTTACTCTTCTTACAGAAAAAGTCAATCCATCCAATCAAAAGACATACACACACACATACACACACACACACACACACAAATAACCATTTGCTCAGTTCTAGGGACAGCATAATATAGTGGAATACTGGCTGTTCAGCAAGGCTGCCCAGGTTCTAGTCCCACACTTAAAACCTTCTCTAGCTGTGTGACCTTGGGCAAGATGCTTCTGCTATCCTTGCCTCAGTCTTCTCACTGTGAAACAAGAATAATAGTTCCTACCTCTTAGGGTTGTTAGGAAGCTTTAGTGACACATATAAATAAAGTTCTTAGAGCATGTGTGACACAGTAAATATTGAATATATATTATTTATTATTTCCACTTCATAGGTATTCTTAAATGGTAGTTCCTACAAAAAGCATAAAACATCGTTTTTTCTTGGAACCTGGTGATTTTTTCCCTTGGTGAAACTGAGTGAGTAAATTGAAGAATGAGTTATTTTTCCAAACAAACAGATACAAGACATTTGATGTGTTCGTTATTTTAATAACAACACATATACCATGTTATTACCATGGAATGTAAGTTCAGGTTAGACAAAGGAATTTTACAAGTATACTAAAGCATGCTGTAGTTTACCAAAGCTTGTGTATAATGTCTGACCAGACCAGCTTGCTCAAAACCAGCAATCACTTCCATTTTAGGTAATTTGTTTAACACTTGCAATTCATACAGAGAAAATAAATATACTGCACACATTAAAACGGCGTTCTTAATTTACCTTTGTATTAGCACTTAGAATACATATTTCTCTTTCAAGATAACATTTAAAAATTATTCTAATACAACAGCAAAAATATAATTCTGCAATTATAAAAGAGCTAAAGTGGAACCAATAATTAAATTATTATGTTTATAAGTGTGATTCTGAAATAAATACTACTTYTRTCAGTTCTGTTGTGAGCTTTCCAGGTATGGTTTAAACACACACACACACTCTCCCTCCCTTCTTCTCTCTCTTTCAGTTGTGGGAAGATTTACAAGTTAYATTTCATGCACGTTTKTGAAAYGTRAAATAGTTCTTTAAGAGCCAACTAACMCTAAAAAACTGAAGTTCTTAAACCAGTTCACAAGGCAGGTAGAAAAAAGTTAAATTAACTGGGTTAAGTAGGATTCCCACCCAACATTCAAAATATGTGTATGATATTCTGTAGTAAACTGGGAGTAATTCAGGCCTGGCCTTTTGTCTTCTTTAGAAGTAATTTCTGTCATAAGCATTTAAGAAGGTGAGTGTTGTAACACTATCCAGTGTATGTTTCTTTTATGTTAACTTGACTTCCCTGAGTGATCCAGTCAATGAAGTCATTAATAATTTGATAACCAGGCAAATCAAGTGGGCAAGAAAAGAAGCCATATTCAAAATACCGTATTACAGCCTGAACCCACTCAAGGGATTTATTTTTTGACATAAACATATAACTTTAACATAACAAAAACAAGCACTTCCAACAAGACCAAGACAGCATCTCTTCTTCTAAGGTTTAGGTTTTGCCCAGAATTCCTTATACATGGAATAGCCCATACCTAGAGAAAAAGAATGCTAGTTAAGTATTAAAATATTCTCTTCAATAGTAAGAAAATACAAAACATTCACAGAATAGCTAAAAATAGTACCCTTGCTAGTACAGAATATTTACAAAAGGAATAAGATCCTATTTTCCTAAACAATTTAAATTTCTAAAACTCTTTATATATATAATTTCTCAAGGCTAGTATGAATATATCACAATGTTACAATATTTGTTTTAAAGATCAACGAATATTGATCTAGCATTTTTAAAAGGAGTCATAATGTTGCCATAACACCAGATAGTCAATAAATTATAGCCAGGCGTGGTGGCCCACACCTGTAATCCCAGCGGCTTGGGAGGCTGAGGCAGGAGGATTATGAGTTCAAAGACATGCTCAGCAAAAGCAAGGCACTCAATGACATCCTGTCTCTAAATAAAAATACAAAATAGGGCTAGGGATATGGCTCAGTGGTTGAGTGCCCATGAGTTCAATCCTCAGTAGCCTCCCTGCCAGAAAAAAAATTATAATGCCAACCAAAGCATATATATAAAAACATTTTAAAGGGCTGGGGTTGTGGCTCAGCGGTAGAGCGTTCACCTAGCACATGCGAGGCCCTGGGTTCAATCCTCAGCACCACATAAAAATAAACAAATCAAGGTATAAAAAAATTTAAAAAAACATTTAAAAAATCTTTTTCATCTTTAAAAACTCAGTAAAATAGCAATCAGGTCTTTCTCAGAAAACTGATGTTACTACCAACCCTATTTGCATGTCTAGATTCTTCAATGAAATTATAAATTCAATGATAGACTTTAAAACCTAAATCTTTCTTTAAAACCTTAATAGGATATATCATAGACAGTAAAACTGTATCACACTTTAATTATTTTTATTAATTCAATTTTTAGGTGAAAATGACTTGTATTTTCAAACTGCTTCAAGGTCTGCTAAAAGTACCTCTCTTGTTTTGTTTTTAAAGAAATACATTAATGGGAAACCACAAATTTGAAATTTCCTTTAGGAACCTACCCAGAGTCATCGCTCCTACAACAAAGCCTTGGGCTGCCACACGCATATGAATCAGGTGAATGGACATTTTAGTATTTCCCCTGTTCTTTAATTTGTATAATCCATATGCAACAATTGCTGCAAATCCTGCCATTCCTATAAAACAAATAGTTGTAAATATGTTAGATGCATAGAGGAAGGGGACCAAGAGGATTTTAACATTAATCAATGTCTTTTCTATTATTTCTATAATTTATCAGATCATTAATTAGCTGAACACAAATAACAGTTTAAAAAAAATTTCCCCCTAGAACCCAAAAATCTATAATTGATAGCAAACATTAGCAAATTCAGAAAGTCAGGGTTATTTTTTAAAATGTGGTTTGTGGAGCCACTAAATAAAGTCCTTTTAAAGGCGTATCAGGGAATAATAGGAATTAAGCTAATGATTATTAAAACACAACAAATATGCTCAATGTCTTATATATTATGGAATGAGTTTATAACTCTTCCTTCCTGTCCTACTGCTCTTCCTAAAGGCAATAACTTAATATCACAGAGACAATCTATACTTTACCAGCACTGAGAGATCTTGCCTATATACTTCAAAATCTGAGATACTATACTGGAAAGTATAGCACTGCATAGACAAAGCAATAGAGCAATACTAAGAGTTTGAATTAAATGGATAATGACCCTAACATTCTATGCAAGGCCAAGTTCTCAATCATTTAGAAGACAAAAAAACATTCAGGAATGACATGATCTTGGATGTTTTCAAAGTGTAATCACTCATGTACTTATAGAAAACCTTGAGGAAATAAAAAAAAAAAAAGACAGTTCAAGAAATTAATAAGTGAGAAAGAAATAAACAGAGTGTGAGATATGGTGGTAAGCAATAGTTAGTAAATCCTATGAAAAATACCTGGGTGTGATGGAGGAAATTAATAGTAAAAATTAATAATCTGATATTAAAGTTATAATTATTAGAACGTTCATTTTAACTTTTGAAGTAAGTGAAAAAATACACCCCAATTAAAATTGTAAAACTAACTACCAGTAGTATAGGAATAGCTGAACTTCCAAAACATTAAAAAAAAATAATAAAAGAACAAACGAAACAATAAGCACAACAAACAGAAAATAAAGTATATAGTAGAAACAAAACTAAGAGAACTTATTACAATAATATCAACATAGGTTAATGTCCTCTTCTAGATTAAAAAAACAAAACCTGGACATATTCTTCCAGGAGACATAACTAATTTACACTAAAGAGTTAAAAATAAAAGAATTTGCCTAGATAAGACTAGGCAATGCAAACAAAAAGAAAGCAGGGGTGTCAATACTAATATCAAAGTAGAATTCTAGGTTAAAAAGCACTGATTATGTCATACATGCAGGCATTTTATAATAAAAGGTTAGTTTATAAAAGTAGTCATAAACTTTAAATAATCTAATCAACATAGCAACAAAATAAATGAAGCAAAAAATTGTTAGCAACATAAGGCATATCATACTTGAAGATGACAAAAATGGGAAAAATAATGTTTCTATTAGAAAATGACCAAATTAAATGGTGTCATTATAACTTTACTAAATTATAATATTTTAAAATAAATAAAATTCAATATTTTAATTTAAAACATAGAGATCACCTATTCTTTCAAATGTCTATGAAGCTTTGGCAAAATGAGAACATGTATTAGGCTACAAAGAAACTTTCAAATTCCAGAAAGGCTGTATTCCAAGATTGTAAACACAAAATCAAAATTTAGCTATCAAAATAGCCATATATACACACCACTAACCACTGAGAAGTTAAGTACTTCTACTTGAGTATGGAGGTTAAAATAAAACCTGAGAGATTAGGAAATTCAAGCAATTACATTAGCACTGAAAAGGATCAAGAGTACAAGCTCTAGGAAAACTAACCAAAGACAAAGAAAATCAAAAGACACCATTAGAAATGAGAAAGGATTTAAGGAGAATGGAGATCCTAGAATGTGGTACATTTATCAATTTCCATTCAAACCTTTTGTGTCCTTAAATACAATTTTGTAGTTTTAATTTCTCTAGGTAAGCCTTAAATATTCCTAGATGTTTTGTGAGGCATTCATGAAATTGATTTCAGTTGTTCTTCACTTATTTTCTTAGATTTCCTATACAGATAGTTATACACATAAAACTATATGTAACTATCTGTATAGGAAAAATACACACACACACCCCACTTCCTAAAGTATGTACAGCTTTTTTCATGTACTTATACAACTTCAAACAACAATAATAGTGTGCACATATATTCCTGTCTTATTTCTGACTTTAAAGGGTATGTTTTTAATGTTTCAAATCTAAAAGTATAATTTGTATTTCTTTTTGATTTCCGGAATAAACTTGATTCTAATACACTGATTTTAAGATTTCAATTGAGATGATCACGTAGTTTTGTATTTTATGTCTTCCAAGGGACTGCATGCCTATGTGACTCACCCCCAGTAAAACCTGAACACCAAGGCTTGGTAAACTCCCCTGGATGGCAGTACTTTGCATATGTTGCCACATGTCATTGCCAGAAGAATTAAATGTCACTGTGTGACTCCACTGGGAGGGGATACCTGGAACATTATGCTTGGTTTCTCCTGGACTTTATCTCACATGCCTTTATTGACTTTAACCTATAACCTTTTGCTATAATAAACCATAACCATGACTCTAATACTTTTTTGAATCTTTTGAGTCTTGCTAAGTCATTGAGCCTGAAGGTAGACTTGGGATTCCTCAACTCCTCACTGATATATGAGTCAATAAGATAAGATGTCTGAATACACACAGAAGAATTTTGTATTCGGCATATTTCAATAACATAATAAAAAATACTTGAAAATAAATTATTTTAGGATGTGCTCAATGAATAAGCTTATCATGCTTTCATTGTTTTAAGCTTATAGCAGATTGAGTATCAGAATATCGAAGTCCAACTTACCAATAGGCACAAATGGTGCTTCTTTAGCTTTTCGGATAAGTTTAGATCCCTGATCTTCATCATATGAAGAAAGAGAAATATCTGTGTTGGTTGACATAGTGATTGCTTGAAGAAACTTCCTGAAAGAGAATTTCTATGAGGTTCTATAAAAGCATCTAGAACACTATTCAATACCTGAATGAATGTAAATATTCCTAATTTCCATGAGTAACCTGATATGTGTTATTCATGAACTTTGAAAAATATTTTTAGAAATTACTATTTTAAATCTATAGCCATCTTTAGAGTTGTATATATTTATTACTCCATAATTTTACCTTTTCTCACAAACAACCAATTTCTTTTAAATGTCATCATACTATTAAAAACAGTATTCAAAACAAAGTGATAATTCCTACTGACTCTTCAATATCATGTTGGAAATTCTATTAAGCACTTTAAAGTATAGTTAAACACAGTTTTAATTGCCTTCAAATGCTGATTTGGTAACTCCAACATGCCACCTTTGAATATTTCCACTGTATTACACTAATCTCTGCTATTGATGGTAGGATTTTTTAAAGATTATTTCAAATAGCCAGATTTTCTACCTAGTTTATTATTTATTCCTTTTAGAGACAAAGACTTATTTTAAATAATGTTGCTAGAAATGGCTCCTTTTAAAACTACTTTTTTCTTATATTGTTCCTTTAATGGTACCCAAAAAAGCAAGTGACCAGCCTGACACTTATCTGAACTGCCCATAAACTTTACCCTACAGATAAAATAAAGAAGTCAAACACAATACTAAGTGCTCTGACCATCCCATTATCCATATAAAATCCTACCTTCACTTCTGAATTTCTCATGTGCATCACACTCCCTTCAATAAGAGAAGCCCTCATCAACAATTTGCTATTCGAACAGGATAAATGGCAGTAAGGGCCCTCAAGAAAATGCAATTCTAAAGGGGGTGGTATTTTTAGTATTTCTTTAAATTATTTTTTTTTGTTCTAATTTGTTATATACAACAGCAGAATGCATTTCAATTCATAGTACATCAAGGGCATGTTTAGTTTGAGAATTGAATTCATCCCTCAAAGCCCCACTCCATTGAGAAGAACCATCTAACAAAGAAGAAAACTTTACAGGGGAAAATTCAAATTAGACTTTTTTTTTTTTTTTGGTATTCCATTATTTCAAAAGTGAATAAACTCTTATTAAATTTTATTATATATAAGGCTTAATAAGGTCCAGGTCCAGAATGCTTGGTATATTTAAAGAGATAAATATTAAATACTAAAGGAACTAATGGTTCAAAAACTAAGTACTATTTAAAAAGAGAAGTGAAAATGTGATTAATTGCCAATAATGTAAGAGACAAAACTGAATTTCAAAGGAGTGATGTCTAAAGAAGGCTTGAGAAGTTTCATAAAGAAAAGACATGAGATTTGATTTGAAGAACTAAACAGAGGAATTTAACACTGAGTTTATTTTAGGCTGGGATGTTTATTAGCTGCCTTCATACCTATTCATAAACTTCTCAAATATATAACTGTGTGTATCACAAATCCTCTTTCCACCTTTTTTTCTCAATGCCACATTGTAATGACATTAAATCTCTTAGATTTTCTCTATACTTCTGGCCTTTGCAAAAGCTGATTCCTTTTCCTATGACAGTTTTCTTCTCTCTCCCCACTTTTCATCTCCTTCGGAAACTTTCTTAACCCCTATTTTTTCAGGTTTGCATCCTAACTAGTTTCCTCTGGAAAGTCCTCTTTGATTCTTTAAGTCTATAATATGTACTTTGGTTATGCAATCCTATACTTTCTGTATCTATCTCCATGATTTACTGTAACGACCTGTATAGAATAAGTACACCACAAAATGTTTGTTGATTAAAAGTTATGTTTCTCAACAATTAAAAATAAGTTATATGTATTTGTAGAGTTAATCAGTCAGTATGAAAAAAACCAAACTGTATATACTTAAGTGATAATTTCTTTTTCTTTAAATTTTTTTTATCTTTATTTTATTTATTTTTATATTTATCTTTATTTACTTTTCTTTTATTTATTTTTATAATAATCGAACCTAGGGCCTCGTGTGTAGGAGACTAGTGCTCTACCACTGAGCCACAGCCACATTAATTTATTTTATTATTCATATATATCTATGAAAAAAATAAATGATGAGCTAAGGTCTTGGTTTCTTGCAGCCTCAAGAGACAAAACCATTACAGACCACAATACATTTTCTTTGGCAGATACGTTTTCCTCCTTTGCCTTAATTATTCCCAATCTAAAATATCACTTGACTATTGACTTTAAAATGTAGAAAGTTGGTGTGTTTTCCTCTAATTATTTCACATGTGGATGACTATAATCATCCACAGGTCCATTAAGCAAAAAGGTTTTCTCCTTTCAGGAAGGGGGGAGATAACTCTCTCTTTACTGTATATACAAAGAAGAACAGACGAAGTCTGTCATTTTCCATTCCTTGTCTATGATACAGACTCTGAAATTTGTATGAGTAGGATATTTGATTTAGCTTTCTGAGAGAAGCTTTGCAGTAAGAATCAGGGTGTAGGGCTGGGCACAGTAGTACACACCTGTAATCTCAGTGACTCTGGAGAAGGAAGAAGGATTTCAAGTTCGAGGCCAACCTCAACCATTTAGTGAGACCCTCCACCCACCAAAAAAAAAAAAAAAAAGGACTGGGGATATAACTCAGCCGTAGAGCCCCTCTGTGTTCAATCCCCAGTTCAGGGGGGTGGGGGTGGGGATCAGGGTGTGGAAAACCTTGTGGTTATTATTTGCTTTAAAACACTAATGATTAGGAGCTGTGGCTGTGGCTCAGTGGTAGAGCACTCGCTTGGCACATGTGAGACACTGGGTTCGATCCTCAGCACCACATAAAAGATAAATTAAAGGTATTGTGTTCATCAACTAAATATATATATATATATATATATATATATATATATATAAAACACACAAAAGAAATAATGATTATCTGTCTCTGATCCGGAACACATCATGTACACATTTCGAGATAAAAGTCAGTAAAGATGAATATTAAAAAATCTAACACATATAACAGAGTTGTTGTTCTAAATTCAAATTATATCTCTATTATTTTTATAAATGATATATCTAATGTAGTCTATATATTCTTATACCTAAAATACTTTCTGAATATAAATTTGATAATTGTCTTAATGCCATCTAGAGTTTCCCAAGTATTCATGATTTATAGCTACTAAAATTGAAAATGTCATTCTTAAAGTTTCAAAGTCAATAACCACAAATCATATAATTTGAAAGCAACACACACCAGATGATTATCAATACCCTTATTTTATAGGTGGGAAAGGGTCCTGAAGGATTATATGAATTGCTCAAAACCAGGAATACATCTCAGGGAGAATAGAATCAGAATAGTAGGATTAGATCCAGCTCTCCTGATAGATTCCAGGGTTCTTTTGGATTGATAAGAGATTACTAAACCATCATTCTATTGATGCTGGTACAAATTTAATCTGAAAAAATAAAAGTACATTCTTTAATTAAAACCCACAACACTCTCTTTGAATTGTAAAAAATTGTTTAAGGCATGTCTACATTAAATAGTCTTATTCCCTCAGTGATTTTAACTAATCCAACAATTTTTATTTCTTTTGATTTTCAATCATCTTTTCCACTAATTTTCCTTTAGTATCTCATTCACCCACAGTGATTACTCCAGATTTGCCAGAAAGTTGAGCAGAGACAAAAAGAGGAAATGATAACAAGATATTCAGTTTGTAGAACACCAATTATTCTGTAAGCTTACTACTACTACAAGAGGTGAAAGGGAAAATGAGCTGCCTAGCATAAGGTGATGTAAAGGATCTGGTCAGAGTAACTATGATCTAATACAATGTGTCAAACTTTGATTCTGCATCAGTCACCTGTCAGCTTGTTTAAAATGGCTGCCAACGCCCCAGCCTGAAAAATCTGACTCAGATGATTTGGGACAGGACCCAACAAATCAGTATTTAAAGAGGCCCCCTTAAATGATTCTGGTGCACAAAAAAGTATGAGAGTATCTGCTACACAGGACTTCGAATTCGTGTTGTGCTAAACTACTTCAATTTTCAGAACTTTGCCATCAAACCGGTCACACTGAAAAGTGCCTTGGTACTTTCTGAAGCATAGATTCCTTTGGTGGGTATTACCCAGAAGAAGGAAAGAGCTCCTTCCAACCAAGAATAAAAGCGAAAGGCGAATAATACTGCTAAATCATTTTGGCTTCTCACAGTTTTGAACTCACGCTACGCATTTGTAACCTCCAACTGGCAGATTTACTTGTCAGAAAGAAATTTTAATGCTGCTACAGATGGTTTATATCAGGCCTTAGGCCTTCTCACCTTCACGGCGTAGGATAGGGTCGCAAAGGATGGAAGGAAACACCGGACTGGGAATCAGGGAAGATCTAGGTTGGAAGATCCTCTGGTTTCACGCCCTTTCCTCAACCTTTCACCCTCTTGTCCTCTCTCTTCCCGTGACCTTGTCAGGGCTCCAAGGCCGGAGCGCTCACGCTCACTATCCCTCCTCAGCCCCGGATCCCAACACGGTTCCGAGCTCAGGGCATGCTCAGGCTCCTCCTCCCCACAACCGGCCCCAGTAGCATCCCCTCCCCAGGGCCCCAGGGTCTCACACTTCTCTTGCTTCAATCCTCTCTGCCTCCGCATCCGCTCGCCGAAAGGACCCGGCCTTGTCTACCGACCCTTCCTTCCCACGATCCGCGAGACCCGAGGCCGCCAGCTACACGTTCCTCCCTTGCCCCGGCCATCGCTCCCCTTCAGCCACCGGCCCCAAACCTCCCAAGATCCTTTAGATCCATTCAAGCGCTGCCCGCTTTTTCCGGGGCCGCCGTCGGGTGCGCCGACTCATAATGCCGGCCTTACGTTCCTCTTACCGAAAGCGACAAAACCCTTCACCACCGGACCGGCGTGTGTACCCAGTCCGCGCGCCCCGTCCGCGCGGCTACTCCAACTCCAGCCCACAGCTCATCCCAGCCAATCAGAAACTGGCAACCGGTCGCGGGGAGGGTCGTGTCCCCGCGTTGCGTGCGTGTGAGCACGGCGCGTGAGGCTACCGGAGCGGATTCCGGATTGGCTGGGGCGTCGCGGGCGGGCGGGGCTCACGTCCCTGGCTCTTGCGCCTAGTGCGTGTTAGACGTGAGGCCTCACAGTTGAGAGTTCGTACTGGGTTGTTCCCTGGTTGCTGGAACCGGTTCTGAGGCTCCTCAAATTTCCTCTCCCTTTTCCCTTCCGGGAGCAGGAACGAACTTCGCGTAGGCCTGGTTCTGAACCCGGCCTCTTGCGGAACGCCGCAGGCACGGAGGGGCGGGCGGTGAGCACCTGGGTCGCAGCTTCTCGGGAGGCGGCGTGTGTGACGGGAGCTCGCGCCGGTCCCGGGGCGGCGGGGCTGCTAAGCTTACTGTCCATTCCGCTGCCCCGGCGATTATCCGCTCTGAACGTGTGCAGTCTGGTCTCTTTGAAGTCCCTTCAAGTTTACACTCCAGTGGAGCAGTGGCCGCTAGAGTAGCGACTTCATACAGGGGTGGGGAGCTTTAAAGAAAAGTCAAGAGGCCTGTGGCTGCCAGTTTCTGGGGACAGGACTCCTTGTTTGTTCATAGGGCAGATGATCAGTGAATACTGACGAACTGATGGAAAACGTTGTCGATTGCATTGGGGAGGTATGTGTGAGTAAATTGGAGTTTAACAAGGCTGACTGCTAAGTGCTGTAGCATACAGGTAGGTACTAAAATGCCATGGGCTGAGGATTTTGAAAATCATTTGAGTTAAGCCTTGTTGGAAACAGTTCATGCTGTGTATGATAAATTAAAAATTCCATACCTTGATTTTTGTGGTAGCTTTCACTACCCGAAGGGGCATTTTTTTTTTTTTTTTTTTTTGATCCTGGTATTTCCTTGCCCACTATTTGTGCTCAGTAGGAACCCAATAAAGGTAAATGAAGTAAGACGAAACTGCTGCAATAACTGGAGAACTTTAAAGATAAGTTCAGGAACTCATTTAGGATTATTAAAATTAAAGCACCCCACTGTCTAATATGAAGGTAAACCAAAAGTCATTAAGTCCTTTGATTCTGGAAATACAAAATCTGACAACCACAAAGACCAAAGATTAGTCATTCCTGAAGGGGATTCATACACTTTACTGCTATGTAACTTACTTGGTTCCAGAGAATGAGATAAAGGGTCAGGCAAATCTGAGTGGAAGTCCCAGATTGGCAACGATGTTAGCTATGATCTTGAGTTTAACTTCTCAAAATGTCATTTTTTTCACTTTTAAAATGGGTAACAGTTGTGATGGTTAATGAGAAAACACATGTAGAGTGTTAGCTATTGTGTGAAAAGCAGACCTTGCCCTCTAGGAATTTATGTGGTAAGTATATGCATCTATAAAGCCAATTACTGTTAGACTTGATGTTGGGTATAAAGTCGTATAGCTACTAAGTAACAGAGTTCCAGGATGGTAAACTAGGAATTTTGTTTCCACAGCAGGTAATTTTTTAGAAGTAGAAGTTTTATTTTTATACCTACTGAACTCATTACTCTAAACATTGTATATAATATTATTTAGAGTTTAGATAATTCTGGGATGACCAAGCCACATAGGTAATTTAAGTAGAGTTAGGTAATGCACTTCCTTTGCAGCTGTTACTATGTGAAAGATACACACTTGTGTCCTCAAATCTTTCTATTGAGACTATTTTTTGACATAATTTTCATTGATCTGACCCAACTTGAAGTGATATTAAATTTGAAGGAGAATAAAAGATTCATCTTTTGACAAAAGTATAACAGCCCTGTCAGTTTGGGTTAAGGGAGAAAGTATGAACTGAGTCAAGAGAGGATATCATAGAACATTAAAAACAGCACTGACAGATATTTTCTCAATTTCAAAACAATGCATTATTTAAAATCATTTTTATTGAAATTAGTCACATAAATGGTATAACTTTCAGTCCAGTCTATTAGTATTTGATTGAAATATGAATCAAGTAAAATGTAATCAGTTTTTGGATGAAATTGTTTAAAAAGTTGGGTGAGTAAGTAAACAGGCCTCACTTCCTCTTTTTTTTTTTTTTTTTTTTTTAAACAAAGCACAGATATATCATTGCCCTTTCCTAGTCCCCAGATTTGTTCAGTGCCTAACAGCCCTTGTCTAGCTAGGGGTGTTACAATAGGACCGCATTTGTTGTGGCAGGCCCTTAAGGAAATTATTGGGATGAATGCAGTTTTTCCTCAGGTAATCATACCTTATTACTTTTCAAGAGAGATAAAGTAAAAATGTTTATGAAAGATTTTAAACAACACATTTCTAAATTTTTTTTGAAGATTTAGACTTGTGTTATTAAAGGGACCTTAAAAGACATCTAGTTCACTTTTTATGCAAATAGAGATTTTGAGAATTTAAGTGAATGATTTAAGTGACACAGCAGAACCTAAATAAATGAGCCTTCCTGAGAACCAGCCCCAGGTCATGGGGTCAGACCATTTAGTATTGTAATGCAGTATAAAATGAAAAACCTTTTTTTTTAGAGAGAGATTTTTTTTAAATATTTATTTTTTAGTTTTCGGTGGGCAAAACATTTTTATGTGGTGCTGAGGATCGAACCCAGCGCCCCACGCATGCCAGGCGAGCTCGCTACCGCTTGAGCCACATCCCCAACTCCAAAGGAACTCGTACACCCGAGAAACCTTTAATGAAAGTTTTTAACCTTTTGATTTACATCCTTGGATGTGATAAAGTGATTGATTTAAACAGTTATGTAATGTGAACAATGCTATTAATGTTGGTCTTGATTGAAATGAGCTCTATTTTAACATCAGGGCCATCAGAAAAAATAAGATAATTTTCAAATCAAAATTTGTCACAAGAGCTCTAGTATGGCCTTGTTTTGAATTTTTTTTTTTTTTTTTTTTGTTACCTAAGATTGAACCCAGGAGCATTTAACCATTGAGCCACATCCCCAGCCCATTTTTTAATTTTATTTAGAGATAGGGCCTCACTTAGTTGCTTAGGGCCTAGCTAAATTGCTGAAGTTGGTTTTGAACTCGTGATCCTCCTGCTTCAGTCTTCCAAGTCAATGGAATTACAGATGTGGGTGGGCCACTGTGCCTAGGGATTTTAATATATTTTTAAGTAAGTCTGTTACAGTGGATAATATTAAATTGTGTCAGTTTGCCCTCCATGGTCTGTATACAAATTCAAGAATTTGTAACTCTAGTACACTATACCTTTATTCTTTTATGTACTGTTTAAATATTTCACTGTTTCAGAATATGAAAACTCAAAACTACCTTATTTGTTAGGAAGTTGTATATTTTCTGATCTCTGGCAAGGAACAGAACGTGGAATTTATTCCATAGTGAGATGTTTTTAAGTTTTACATCAATGACCTCAGTCTCATCCTGAGAAACTTTAATTCTTGCAAATTAGAACATATTACAAGCTTAATTAATAATAAGGGACTTCTGTTTGTGCCAGTTTACTTGCAGTTTTGTTGCCAATTTGTGTGAGAAATTATTTTTCTGTTTAGTAGGTAGATACCCAAAATTTTGATAAATGTTGATAAATATCTGAAACAGATTGGGGGGGGGTGACATGCTGGGAAGCACTTTACCACTGAGCTACATTTCCATACCAGAAGACTTTTTAAATGGAAATTGTTCTTCTACACTTTATTCCATATCATGTTATAAGAAAACAATAGCAAATTTGCATTTTTATAATGTCGACATTATAATTGTTAACAAATGTGTAAGATTATTATTTCATTCTCTTTACTGTGTGTCGTTTTGAAATCTAATTTATGCAGAAGACTTTAAAAATGATTTGGGTTCTAAAGTATCAAATCAACTCACCTATAGTTTATAGAATAAAGAAAAGCAGTGCAAGAATGTCTGCCAGCCTTGCTCTTGACCCCTCTTCTGTAACTTCTTATGCTCCAAGTAGCTGTCTAGACATCATCATATCAACTGCAAGAGAAATGGGCTTCTAAACTCAGATGTCTGTTTAAGCTAAGGCCCAACGTAAAAGGCATTGCCCTATTTTTGTCATCCTTTTAAAATACTGTGCTCTCTTTGTTGAACTTTGTTTAAAACAAATGTTAAATCTTTTGAGATGATTGGTAATATCTACAGGTATTTTTAAACCAGAGTTGGGAGTCACCATCAGCAATTCTTGAACATTATTGTGCTGAGTATCTGCACTGGACTCAACCTGCTTTGAAATAAGTTATAGTGTGAGTAGGTCAAAGGAATGGGTATATAGACCTAGTAAAGATAGTCTGTAAGTGCTTTGAATGGAATTTCAGGTCGATATCATAGTAAATGGAACAGTTTCAAAGGCTTCCTGGGACTAGGATTTTAATGGGCTCTGGAGAATAACTAGAATGCAATTATATTGGGAGGGTATTTCTGAAGGAGCAAACTGGGGGCAGAATGGAAGTAGACTATGTAGCTCTGTTGACAATAAGTAGGAAAAGGAAAATCTTTGTGACCAGAGTCAGAATAATGAAAAGTAGACTTGAGTAACAGTTGGGAGGACCTTAAATGCTAATTAAAGAACTTGGACAGTATTCTATTAAGTGTCCCTTGAAGGTTCTGGAGCAGGATGTTGACAAGAGCAGGGTGCATATGAGGTTCTTGGTAGTAGAGTAAAATGGATGGGATCTGTCTATTCTCTCATGAAAAGTAGTGTGACACTGCTTAAGACCACAGACTCTCAAGCTTGCTTTGCTTCTGTGTGATCCCAAGCAAGTTATTTAATCATTCTGGGCCTCAATTTCTTCATTTGTACATTAATAAGGATTTACCTAGTAGAACTCTTAGGGAGTGTTAATAGTACCTAAACCCTAACATTGCCTGGCATTGGTGGG